TTCCAGGATTTTTCCCCCTGTTATCCCATATTTTCCCCCCCTTTTCCCAGAATTTTTCCCCCCCTCTAACCCCACCTTTTCCCAATTTTTTCCCCTCTCTAACCCCACCTTTTCCCAGAATTTCCCCTCCTTTTCCCAATTTTTCCCCCTCTCTAACCCCACCTTTTCCCAATTTTTTCCCCACCTAATGGCAGAAATTCCCCCCGCTCTAACCCCAATTTTTCCCCACCTTTTCCCAATTTTTTCCCCTCCTTTTCCCAATTTTCCCCCTCCCTAACCCCCCCTTTTCCCAGAATTTCCCCCTTTTCCCAGAATTTCCCCCTTTTCCCAGAATTTCCCCCTTTTCCCAATTTCCCCCTCCCTAACCCCCCCTTTCCCAGAATCTCCCCCCTTTCCCAGAATTCCCCCTTTTCCCAGAATTTCCCCTTTTCCCAGAATTCCCCCTTTTCCCAGAATCTCCCCTTTCCCCAGAATTCCCCCTTTTCCCAGAATTCCCCCTTTCCCAGAATCTCCCCCTGTAACCCTTTCGCACCGCGCAGTTCTCGGCCGAGCTGGAGCAGCTGGAGCAGCTCCTCCCCTCCCTGGACAAAGCGGCGCCGATTCCCGGGATCGCCCCCCTGGAGCGGAGCGAGCCGGGGCCGGCGCAGCCCCGAGCGCCCCCAGCTACAGGTACGGCACCCCCGTTCCCCCAAATTCCCGGAGATTCCCGGAAAATCCCGGAAAATCCTGGAAAATCCCGGAATTCCGGACGCGGAAAGGGCGGGAATGCGGAGAAATCCACACCCGGGGTCCCGGAGAGAGCCGAGATTTTTCTGGGATTTGGGGTCCAAATGTTGGAAATGATCTGAGAATTTTGCCCATTTTCCCCCAATTTTCCCCATTTTCTCCCCATTTCCCCCGATTTTCCCCATTTCTCCCATTTCCCCCCCCCCATTTTTCCCAATTTTCCCCCATTTCACCCTATTTTCCTCCATTTAATCCCCATTTTCCCACATTTTTCCCCAATTTTTCCCATTTCCCCTCCTTTTCTCCCAATTTTCCCCTCATTTTCCCAATTTTTCCATTTCCCCCGATTTTCCCCATTTCTCCCATTTCCCCCCCCCCATTTTTCCCAATTTTCCGCCATTTCACCCTATTTCCCTCCATTTAATCCCCATTTTCCCACATTTTTTCCCAATTTTCCCCTCATTTTCCCCATTTCCTCCCCATTTCCACCCTAATTTTTCCCATTTTTCCTATTTTCTCCCCATCTTCCCTCAATTTCTCCCAATTTTTCCCATTTCCCCCAAATTTTCTTCCCATTTCCCCCTCATTTTCCCAATTTTTTCCATTTCCCCCCCTTTTTCCCCATTTTCCCCTCATTTTCCCCATTTCCTCCCCATTTCCACCCTAATTTTTCCCATTTTTCCTATTTTCTCCCCATCTTCCCTCAATTTCTCCCAATTTTTCCCATTTCCCCCAAATTTTCTTCCCATTTCCCCCTCATTTTCCCAATTTTTTCCATTTCCCCCCCTTTTTCCCCATTTTCCCCTCATTTTCCCCATTTCCCCCCATGTTTTCCATTCTTTTTCCCATTTTCCCCCCTTCCCCCCCTATTTTTCTCAATTTAATCCCCATTTTTCCAATTTCCCCTCATTTTCCCCATTTTCCCCCCATTTTCATTTTTTCCCCATTTTCCCCTCTCCAGAGGCCGTCCCTGGCAGCATCCGCACAGCCGAGCACTTTGTGGGGTTTGGGGTGGTTTTTGGGGTGTTTTTGGGGTTTTTGGGCTGTTTCTAACCCCATTTTTCCCCATTTTTTCCCCATTTTCCCCCATTTTTCCCCATTTTTCCCCTCATTTTCCCCATTTTCCCCCCATTTTCCCCATGTTTTCCATTCTTTTTCCCAATTTTCACCCAATTTTCCCCCATTTTCCCCTCATTTTCTCAATTTTTCCCATTTTCCCCCATTTTCTCCCCATTTTCCCCTCATTTATCCAATTTCCCCCTCATTTTCCCCATTTTCTCCATTTTTCTCCATTTAATCCAAATTTTTCCCATTTCCCCCAGTTTTCCCCCTATTTTTCCCCATTTTTCCCATTTCCCCCCATTTCCCCCTGATTTTTCCCATTTTCCCTCATTTTCTCCCAATTTTTCCCATTTTCCCCCGTTTTCCCCCATTTTCCCCTCATTTTTCCCATTTCCCCTCATTTTCTCCCCATTTCCCCCTCATTTTCCCCATTTTCCCTCATTTCTCCCCATTTTCCCCACGTTTTCCATTCTTTTTCCCATTTTTCCCAATTTTCCCCCCTATTTTTCTCCATTTAATCCCCATTTTTCCCATTTTCCCCTCATGTTTTCCACTCTTTT